TTGAGTACAACCCTTCTGTCGCACCAGTGGGGAAACTGAGGGTGAGAGAAAGCATTTCAGTTCTCTCCTGCTGAGGGGTTGAACTCCTGCCACCCCGAGTCCATGCGAGCCCCACCTCTGCCCCCAGGTCTGCACACGGGGTCCCAGCCCCCAGTCACACCTGGCAGGTGGGTGTCGGGCAGGGACCCCCATTTCTCCAGCCGTTTTCAAAACTGCCCAGTGGGGAAGAAGTGCAGCCGACAGACGCCAGTCTCTCCTTCAAGTGAAATCTTTGCCTTTTTCATATCTAATGAACACGTTTCAAACACGGCGAGCATCTCCAGACGCAGCAAAGTTTGTTTTGACAGGAGCGGTGCGTCTCTGGGATGCGGCCCCTTTAATCAGCCTGCGCTTTGAGGTCCCACGTCCTCCTCTGATATCCACCTGTTTTGAAATCCGGGAGTTCTAGGCAAAGACACGGGGAAGGTCGGGGGTTTGTTAGGCTCCTGTTTCCTACGCCAGCTCCATCCCCCGCTGCGAGGAGTGAGGGTGGGGGCTGGCTGGGAACTGGTGGGGCTGGGGGTCCGATGGGGAGGCTGCTGGAAGGGGGTTTGGACCCGCGAGTCTGTGCTGCCGCTTTGCTGGCAGTAACCAGGGGCCCCTGGGGCAGGACTGGGGGCCCAGCCGGTTGAGGCCTTCAAGGCCCCTCCTCTTGTCAGCTTCTCCCAGCCTTCCCCAGAGTCACCGCTTCCCTGGGGCTTGGGGAAACATCCTCCAGGGCCAGCCACAAGCTTGGAATTTCTTTGAAGTGTCTCATTTTATCTTTAAAACTCATGCAAGTTGTGCATTATGCTTCGTAACGTTTGAGTATCTGTTGTCAGTATAGAAAGTGGGTCTTACAGACTTATTCCCGGGAAAAGCTGACAAAACAGGAAGAGGTGCTGTGTTCATCCCAGCACAAGCTGAGCACCCTGACTTTAAGGCTCACAGGTGGGGGTCAAGCAAACCGGAGAATCTGGGTGGGGGCACCAGCGGGACAGGCCAGATTTCCCTGTGTTAATGCTTCATAAGCTCCTTTGCTCCGCAGGTGTCTCAGCACCTGAAAGCGTGACAGTGGGGGAGGCTTTGCCCAGCCCCCCAGACTGTGACATGTGTCAGCATCTCCTGGGAACTAGGGAGAGATGCCGTGTCCTGAGCGCCAGCCCCGGAGATTCTGACCCCACAGGTCTGGGGGTGAGCCGGGGTCCACGTTCTTAACAGGCTTCTGCAAGTGATTCAGCTGCAGCTCCTGGTCACTCCAGCCTCTCCCTGTGTCCTTCTGGGCACTTTTGGGGACTGGAAACTCACTACTTCTTGATGGGCCCATCCCTGGGAGGGCCCAGCACAACATCAAGGCTCAGTTAACGCTGCATGCAGAAGGACAGATGAACGACTGGATCGATGGACAGATGAACAGACGATAGACGGATGGATAGATAAGCAGACAGTAGATGGGTGATTATGGGTGGGGGGTGGATGGATGGATAGATGGATAGACAGGAAGATGGATAGAATGTGCAGCACTAGCATCTTAGAAGAAAGTCCACGTTACATCTGGGTGTTTGCCTTTCCCCTGCACTGTGGAAACGGGCAAAAGCAGAAAGAGCCATGGAGAGATTGAAGGTTGGGTACAAAATGGAGGAGGAGGGGTAGTGATGCTCCCTGACCTTTCTTTCCCCATGTTCCCCAAGGCCTTCGCCACAGGCAGGCCTGAGGAGGGATTCGGAGCCCCAGCAGAGGGAGAAAGTGGTGGCAGAAAAGAGGGACAACCCAAAAGCCCAGGCCTCATGGAGCAGCCAGCTCTCCCTGGCCGGGGGAGGGGCAGCTTACCTGGACGGCATGTGCAAAGGCACAGAGGTGAACTGAAGAGCACGTGGGGCTGGGTGGCAGTGTGAGGGTCTCAAGCAGGGGCTAGGCACTCAAAGTCTTCTCTTTTAGGTGGGCCTGGCCACTCTTCAGGGCATCTGTCCCAAGTGCCTCCTGTGGAGGCCCAGGTGGGTCTAAAATGAGCAGAGGACAAGACTGAGGGTGGCGAGAGGCGTCGGGGCCAGCCTGCGCTGCCAGCCCCGAGGGCTGGGGCCAGGGGTAGGGCTGAAACGTAGCCAGCAGTGGATGCTGCTGTTCCTCGCCGAGGATGGGGCCTCTGACCTCCTTCCACGTTCACTAACAGTCTGGTCTGAGAGCTGTGTGGATTCAATCCTGTGGTTTTGATGTGATAAGTCATCCATTTCATACTTGCCCGTTCATTTTGCTCCCTCGTGACCAGAATATACAAGAGGTTGCTACTTGCACTTGCGGTTTGTTTATAGAGTCCCACATGGATTCATATGTTGACTGACTGCTCTTTCTGCTGAATAGCAATTGGCCTGCTGATTTCAGCCAGGAAGTATGCATATAGGATGGCATCTCTCCTATGTATTTAAGTAATGGCTGCTGCCCTTCTTGAGAACTATTGCCATCGAAGGGTGGTTGGTGTCCACATAGAGCAACAATCAGGTAGTTCCTCTCGGGCAGTACATTAAGTAGATAGTGCATTAGGCTGCAAGAAAAAGGTGTAAATGGTGATAACATGTGGACAGATTCATGGGCTCTGTGAGTAGGTGCTTAGGAGATGCTCCGCGGGACCCGGTCCTGCACAGGGCACCTGGACCCTTTGGTTAACAAGGTCCTGCCCCAGGGAGCTCGAGTCCGGAACAGGGCTTCCTAGCACCATTCACAGCTGTGGTATTTCCTCATCCGGCTCTGATGAGATGAGAACCACTAGAAGGTAATCAAGTTTTCAAACAGCTAAACTTTCCAATGTAAAGGACCGTCCTTGAGTGTGAGATTATGAGTTCTTCCACTTATTCTAGGTTTACACTGTCTTCTCTTTTCATAATAATAGTGACACTAAATGGTAGTTAGGGTTTTGTACTCTTTTTTTTTAAATTTTTAACGTTTATTTATTTATTTTTGAGAGAGAGAAATAGAGCATGAGCAGGGGAGGGGCAGAGAGAGCAGGAGACACAGAATCCGAAGCAGGCTCCAGGCTCTGAGCTGTCAGCACAGAGCCCGACGCGGGGCCTGAAGCCACAAACCATGAGATCATGACCTGAGCTGAAGTCGGATGCTTAACCGACTGACCTACCTAGGAGCCCCGTGGTTTTGTAGTCTTAAAACACCCTTACTTGGCAAAGTCAAAGTTGCCCCAAGATGTCTTTGGCCCATGAATTTCTGAAGGATGGGCCCCTGCTTTGGGGCACCTGTTGTTTTTCCGTCTCATGGAAAGGCCTGTCCTCCCCCAGGGTGCTGCGTGTTTTGTGATACAGGACATCCTTCCATCGCAGGTCACAAGCCACATGTCGGGCTCAGCCTCTGCTGAGCTGGATTCCGCCTCCTAACGCAGACTCCGGCTGGAGCAGCGATGGCCACCATCACATCCATATGGCATCTCCCGGCCAGTGGAAGTGTTCTCTGTGTAGCAGCTTTTAAAGTCTGATCGTAAAGCATCCAGGACAGTCATCCTCTAAATGGACTGCGATCACAGTCTCAGACCACACATCTGGGCCCCTCCTCAGCCCTGCCAAAGCCACCCCTCTGCTATAGTTTGCTTGTCTCTGGTAATGGGGAGCTTACCTCCTCTCAGGAAACCCTCTCATCTTTGTACAGTTCCACATCATCAAGAATGTGTCCCCTCTGCTTTTTGACTGAGTTGTCACATATAAACACATCCTGTTCTTGATAGAAATGGGATCAGGTAGCGCGTGCCCTTCTGTGCCTGGCAGCTCTCACTCAACTCCGTGTCTGTAGGACCCATTGGTTTTGTGGCTCTTGTTTGTTGGTGTTTATTAGTCCATTGTGTGAATAGGCCCCGTCAGCAATTTTCCGTTCTGCTGCTGATGGGCTTTTGTTTCTGGTTTCTGGCTACTATGAATGAAGCCACTTTGCACATTCTTGATCATGTCTCTTGATGGACAGAGCACTCATTTTTCTTCGACATTGACCTGGTTAGGTTATGCTGTCAGCAGTATTTTCAGCTGTGGTGGATGGTTTTCCAAGGTGGGTGTACCATTTTTTTGTCCCCTTCGGCAACATGTGAGGGTTCTAGTTCCCCACATCATCAAGCTTGGCTTATATCAGTCTTTTTAACTTTAACCATTCAGGTGGGTGGGCGGTGGTAATTCGCTGTGCTTTTAATCTGTGTTGCCCTGATGAGTAATGAGAAAACTTTTGACTCATGTGCTTTTTGGCCACTTGGAAATTTTCTTTTGTGAGGTACCCTTTCAAGTCTTCTGCTAACTTGGGAGAGGGGCTTGTTTGAAGTCCATTTTATCAGTTTTGTCTTTTATGATTACTGTCTTTTCTGTCCTCGGTTTGATTTCAGACATCTTGGCCAACCCCAAGTCTCGACATGCCATTTGGTGCCAGCCAAGGGTGGTGTGGGTTTGAAGCATAGTCCCGCTGCTTTTCTGAGCCTCCATTTCCCCATCTGTAAAGCCTCTTTGGGGGACTGTTAGGAAAAGGAATGAGCAAACACATGTGATGCACTTGGTCAGGGTTGATAGGTGTTTTGTTTGTTTTTGTTTTTTTGTTTCTTCCCACTGTTGAGAAATCTGGACTCTTCTAGGATGCAGGCACTCACCTTAAAGGACATTTGATCAGTTGCTTCCCAGAGCCCGGCCCCCACATCCCACTCCCCTGGGCCCTTGGCAGAAACACTATCCTCAGCTGCCCAGCCCCCAGTCGGATTCTCAGGTCTGGGGAGGCCCCTGTCCACAGGGGCGTTAGTGCCCTACCCAGTATGGGAGCTCCAGTCTGGTCCAGCCGTCTCCTCTGACTGAGCGGGGATTAGGCAGAAAGTGAGAGAGTGAGAGAGGGCCGCCCAGGTGCCCAGGGAGACTGAAGCTGGGTCTCTGCCCAGCCTCCACGCCTTCCCTTCCCCCCACGTCCTTCCCTGCACAGAGCATAAGCACCCACCCCGCTTCCCTCTTCCTGTGTTACAGTGGGGACACCGTACTACATGTCACCAGAGAGGATCCACGAGAACGGCTACAACTTCAAGTCTGACATCTGGTCTCTGGGCTGTTTGCTGTATGAGGTGAGTGTCTGGCTCACAGCTCAGCGGCATTCGGTGAGGTATGCAGACCCAGCTGGGGCAGGGCGCTCCCCCACTGGCTCAAGGTGGGAACCCAGGGATGTGTGATGCCCACCTGTGGCTTGGGCATCATCTGGGTCCTGTCCTTCACCCCGCTCGGCCCGTTGTCTGCCTGATAAACAACGCTAGGCTGGAGGAGATTGTTCGATGTGTGGCTAGTGGCAAACTGGGTTCCATGTCATCCTCAGGCAGCTCAGATATGCAAAAGGAGACAGACTAGAAACAGAGTCTGCTTGTGTGATGGAGGCACAGGGAGGGGGTCTGGTAGCCCATTTCCCTGGGACCAGGGCGCTCCTGTCTGCTATTTGACATTCACCCATGCCTCGGGCTTCTAGTGGGGACAGAAGGGGTCAGCTCTGGCCCACGCTTCTGAAACACTCTTCACAGAGGGTGTCCACACTCCCAGGCCCAGCGGTATGGGCCTCACTAAAAACCACACTGTCCCCTCCCATGAAATGGTGCCACCAAATGGCCACTTCCAGATCTGGTGGCCAGGCTGAATGGAAGGACAGGAATATTTCTGAGTCTTGGCAGGCTCAGACATGAGACATGAGTAAACAGAAGCTCCCACGTGTTGTGGCCAGCTACCCTGGGGGCCAGGGAGCGCGGGCAGTTCTCAGCCATGAAGCTTTTGCAGCCGCCAATGGGAGGGTGGGGGGCTGAGCCCTCCCCTGGCTTCACGCTGGCGGCCGCACCCTCCAGCACCCTGGCCCTGGCCCCCCTCGCACTGGGCAGCCCTGGGATTCTGTGTGTCTTGCTGAGCCTGCCTCCCCGTCTGTAGAATGGGAATAGTACCCTTCCTGCACCGTCACCGTCCAGCTAAATGAAATAACAGATATGAAAAGCTTTGAAAATCCTCCAAGGGCCATGAGACCAGCAAGCACAGTTTGCTTTTAAAATTGGAACCTTGATAATTTTTCTGCTTTCCCAGAGTTGACTTGAGCATATGCGGGGTCTGGCTTAGAAGTGAGACGCTAAAGAGGCTCCTTATCACGCTGACATGGCCCACGACCGCCAGGGCAGTGATGCTCACGGTAGTGGCCGAGGGCCACCACGAGTGTGTGGGTGCCACAGAGACTGGTTTCTTGCTTCCTTGGGACTGTTGACTCTAGGAATTGACCTCAGAGTCCTTGGGTATGTACTTAAGGAAAAAGCTGCCCACCGCTGACCCACGTGGGGACCGTGGTTGCTCTTGTGGTCGGGGTCTTGGGCAGCAGGGTCCCCCCTCCCCACATTACTGACTGAGACCCTGAGGTCAAAACTGATCCTTTTGTAAGGTTGAAACTTCGCAGCAACTCAGATGGTTTTAAGAACAGACATTTTATTTTAAAGAAGTGGCCTAGTGGTTAAAGAGTGAGTCAAGTGGCATTTGTGCCCGGGATCCCCTACTCCCAGAGGTCGGCAGTGTGAGCCACCCACAGTGTCATCTTGAAGGTCTGTGGGGGAGTTGGATGCTGACAGACAGAGATGGGCAGCAGACCTGCTTTCCGGGACCCCACAGGGCATCTGTTGTGGGAGGAACTTTTTTTAATGGCCACCGAACGGGAGCGGTCAGGGCGCCGTGGTGCCCACCTGGTGGCCGGAGTGGATTGGGGAGCCCAGGGCAGTTCCCAGCCCCCTCGGGCAGAAGAGGGCTACGTTGTGTATCCTTCCCCCATCTCTGTCTCCCTCCACCACCCGGCTGCTATGGGGTTTGGGAGTCAGAGTGGTTGAGTGGGCGGGGAGGGTGACCTTGGGAAGGACAGTGGGTGCGGGAGGGAATTTGGAGGGGAATCAGCATCTCCAGCAATAAGAGAAAAGAGATGAGAGTCCGAACTCCCCTCTGCGAGGATAACAGGAAAGAAACCCACTTTTACTGGGTGTCCCACATGCCTGCACATTCATAGTAGCCCCCGGGGGCTTGTTTGCTTTGGTTTTGCCTGGACTGAATTAAAGCCAGGTGGGCAGAGCCCCAGAGCCCCAGAGAACCCCTGGTACTGGCATCTGTCTCTCAGGATGAGTCATGACTTCGGGGTCTCTCCAGCCAGCTTTCCAAGTACAGCCTCTTCCTCAGGGGAACACCGTGGCCACCAGGGCTGAGGCCAGTGACAAGCCAAACCTGCCCTCCCCGGGCTCCGTGTGCTCCTGCATCCACAGCCCTGTGCCCCTGCACCAGCCTGGCTGGGATCCGAGGAGGGGGTTCCAGCCCCTCACTAACTGGGCATCATCTGCCCGGGGGTCAGTCCTCAGGGGAGGGGCTGCCGCTCCTGGTCTCCCCAGGACCAGGCCAGGACCAGGCAGATGCCCTCTGTGTAGCAGGGGTCAGGGTGTGCGATTTTGAATCCGACTGTGTGCGCGCACGGCCACGCAGTGACTCACATGGCTGCGGTGATGTGGGTGAGAGAGTGCAAGATCCTGGCGAGGGGCCCCTTTGGACAAAGGACCTGCGTTCGGAGCTCAGCTACCCCCTTACCCCATAAGGTCCTGGGGCAAGCCAGCGTCTTCTTCCAGGAGCTTCTGTTGCCTCAGTACAAAATGGGGTCACACCCTCCCTTGCTGTGAGGCACCAACAGAGCGTGGCTCAGAGAAGGCCCTCTGGCGATGGCAGGCAGGTCACTGAAGCTCATTATCCTCCCCCTCCCCGCCCCCTCGCTGCCCAGAGCTGCTGACCCAGTGCAGGCCGATCAGTTGGCATCTACCCCACGACTGGCCATATTTCCCTTTTTGCTTTGGCCAGTGGGAAACCAGAGTGCAGCTCAGCCCCCCTTTTCCACAGAGGACTCCGCTTTGTCCCCCTGCCCTCATGGGTATCGTCCCTGGCCCAGATGGTTTGCTCCTCTTCTTTTTCCATTCCGGGTCTGGGATTTCCGTAAGCCGCTTCCTACCTCTGTGAACCCCGAGGGTCTGCAAACATTAGCAGACACGGACCAGGGTGTGGCAAGCGGCCGCACTCATCTCCCCGGGGCCAGAAGACGGCAGCTGGCTCCCGTGCTGGTGCCAAGCCTTGGACACAGAGCCGCCCTGCTCCCTGCCCGAGCCTTTGTCTCGTCTCCTGGAGGCCGTGCCTGCCCAGCCCTGCAGCACCCGGTTCCTGGTAGGCGCCTGGTCCTCTGGGTCTCCGTCCGTGGCACCTAAACGCATGTCTAACAAGGCAGCGTCCATGTTCGTGGCTCCCCGACATCAGGCTGACGCTCAGCCTGGCTGATTTATTTGCTGGCAGCGTGTGGGGCCGCGGAGGTGGCAGCCAGGGAGGGACTGTTGGCAGTGGGAAGTCAGTGAAACCAGTCAAGTCCTTCGGGCACAGGCGTCCTTGGGGACGGCGGGCACTGATCTACACCTGATGGGCCCGGGCCACCCACAGAAGAGGGCTAGCGTGGCTGATGTGGCCAGCCACGGCCAGCCCCTTGGAGGATGTCAGGCGGCAGGGGCTCTGCTGCCGGCCACCACCCCTTTCCCCACACCCCCGGCCCTGTGGGGAGCGGATGTTTTCCCAGCAGACGCAGAGGGAGATGCATCTGGGCCCAGGGCTCCGTAATTGGGAGGAAGCATCCAGCAGACACGGCTGGAGCTCCAGCCTGTGTGGTTCCCTGTGGTGGTTCCGGGAGCACCAATGCGAGGAGCCGTCACGGAGGCTCCCGCCCACACGGCCCCTCCAGACCACATCTGAGGATTCGGGTGGCTCCGGAGTGTCACACCTGACCCCGGGGAAGGGGCAGGACAGCATGGAGCCAGAGAAAGCCTGCCCGATGCGGCCTGGCCTGCCCTTCCCTGAGCCCCAGCATGGACTGATGGACTGGAAGTCTCTACAGCCCCCCCAGTCTGTGTTAGTTTCCTCTGGCTGCTGTAATAGGTTACCACAAAATTGAAAACAAAATTTTTCACTTCATGTTCTGGGGGCCAGAAATCCAGAATCCATTTCAGTGGACAACGGGCATTGGCGAGGCCAGTTCCTTCTCCAGGTTCTAGGGAGAATCCATTTCCTTGCCTTTTCCATGGAAAATGGAAAGTTTACCTGCATTCCTTGGCTCGTGACCCCTCTTCATGTTACTCTGGCGACACGTCTCCTCGTCCGTAGTCAAATCCCCCTCAGCCTCCCTCATACAAGGACACCTGTGGTTACCTTTAGGACCCACCTGGACCACCCAGGGTAACCTCCCATCTGGGGCATTTAATTCGATCACATCCGCGGACTCCCTTTTGCAGTTTAAGTGAGCACATTCACAGGCTTCAAGGATAAAGAGGCAGACATTTCTGGGGGCCTTCATTCAGCCCATTGTGCCCCCTTCCCTCCAGGCAGCCAGGTATCCACCGAGGAACTCCTGAGGTCACTTTAAGATGCTGGTGTTGACCCGTGGCCAGCGAGGAGCTGCCACAGAGCACTGGCTTGTGCCCCCCCAGGGGTGGCTGCGAACCAGGGTCTGTCTTGAAGAGGTTGCACCAGGAGAAACAGGCCAGTTGGCTCAGCAGCCAGAAGCACTGCCAGGCCATTGGAGTGAACCCAGGAAATCACCCTGGGCCAGTCCCATCCTCACTATAAGGGAGGAAACTGAGGCTCAGAGAAGTGGAGAGACTTTCTAGGGTCACACAGCAAGAAGGTGGCCAGGACGGGCACTGGTCCCCAGGCTGCCTATCAGAGCCGACCCCCCTGTGGACAGGAGCCAGGCCCTGGCCAGGCAGGACGTGCAGGCCTTCTGAGCCAACCCCGCCCTGGAGTAGACGCTGCTGGTGGGGAAAGGGACCCGGGCCTCTGCCCAGAGCCCCTGGGAGAGGAAGGACCAGGGTGTGAGGAGCCCCAAGTGACTTCAGCAGCGTCCCCTCTGCCCCGGAGATGCTGGGGCTTGGCCGTGTTAGAAGGCCCGTGGCTTTGTTTTCATTGCCCAGCACACCCCACGGAGGGGCCCAGTGGACTGCCCGGGCTCCACGGAATTGACTTATTTAACACGAGAGCTCAGCTCTGAGCATGAGCTGAAGGAGTTGGGTCATCCGGCCCCAGGATCCTTGGCAAGGGACCTTCTCACAGCAGCCTCGAGGGACCAAAACCCAGCAAGAAAGCAGCCGGGGAAACAGGCTGAGAATCAGCCACCCCTTGTACAGAATCCTGTTTGGAATCGTGGCTCGACCCGGAGAGTGGTCCGGCTGCCCTTTACCTCGTGGTGGAACAGAGCCGCAGACCACTTGGTGATGGGCCTCTGGGGGATCCTAGGTGACGAGACGGGTGTCAGAGGCCCTGACAGAGCAGGAGTCAAAGGCAGTTGCCCTCCTTCCTGTGACATCTCAGATCGCACACCAGTCCCTCCCAGCTCCCCCGGCAGGGGCGGACACCGCACTCCCCCACGTCCCCGGCCGTGTGTCAGCCCGATAACGCCAGAGAGGGACAGTTCTTCATTTGAGGAGCAGCGCTGAGAGCCATGGCTCCGGCAGCCCTGACAAGACAGCCGGGATCAGCCCCAGACGGCCATTCCTCGCCCACTGCGTCGCCCGTGCAGACGTGGGTGGTCGCCGGTGCGAAGATCTCCTCATCCGGCGTAATCGTTCTAATCCCAGCATCTCGGGCAGCCTGAGGCTCCTTCACAGCCCAGCGCCCTGATGCGTGTGGAAGGCGCATGGCCGGCAGCTGGAAGGGCGGGGTGGCGCCGCCGCCACTAGGATCTGCCTCTGTGGATGGAGAAGCCGCTGTCGTAGGGGAGGCCGGGAGGGAGGGCTTCTCTGGTGGAGCCGGAAAGGAGGGAGGGGTGCGCTGAAGGCCACCAGTTTCTGGGGGCCTTTTGGACTCCCAAATGGCAGGGTTTGTGCAAATCAGATTGGCTTGTTGAAAGGCTCAGCCAGTCTCCCAGCTCTGACACGTGGAAAGCCAGGGCCCGTGTTAGTGGACCAACATTTTAAATGTCCTTTGTACTCTGAACAGAAACACTTTCCAGGAAAATCCGTCTTAATCATCCAGCCATGACTCGCAGGGCACGCAGATCACCCCAAGTGACCGCCCTGGAGCCTCAGCTGCTCTCTGCTGTGGCAACAGATGTCCTTTTGAAGCTGCCCAATTAACCCTTCACACCCGAGGCTCTCATTTTAACTATTGGAAATGCATCACCCACGCGATGCCGTTTTGCACACTTGGTGGTAAAGCCAGCTCTCCGTCAGGCTTGCGGAGCCCACAGCGGGCAGGACCTCCATGTACGCAGCCTTCCCTGCTGAGGACCAAGGCCACTCCCCACAGCCCTCCTTGGGGGTCAGAGTCCCTGGTCATGGGAGGAAAGGTGAGGCTGGCCCTAAACGCCCACCTAAACACGCGGCGTGGCCCATGTGCCTGGGCGCACAGGTGCAGCCCCGAGCAGATGCCTGGACCTGGGTCAGAGGAAACCACAAAGTCTCCAGGTCACACTTTGCTGTTTCCCCAAAGGCTGTTTCCTTCTATAAACCCAAGGATGCTGCCTGGGGAGGCCGGCCCTGCTCTGGGGGCCACCAGACCTGTTCACCAGGGTGAACAGAGGATAGGGGGCAGACCGGGACACTAAAGTTAGTGGGCACCCATAACCCCAGCACCCATGGGCTCCTCCCTGCCCGGAGATTGTGTTTGCTGGCCTGCCCTCTGGGGCCTGAGGGCAAGTGAGGAGTCCTCAGGTAGCCCAGTGTCCCGTCGCGAAGCCAGAAGGCGGGAGCCCCTGGCCAAGGCGTCTGCGCAGAGTGGCCTTGGCAGCCCGGCTTCCCGAAGGGAACCAAGGCCAAAGGGATGGGCAGGCCCAGTTACCCGGTGCGCTTCGTTAGCAGGAGGCGCTGGGCCATCTTTTGGCGGCAGGCAACAGTGAGTGGGAGTGACAACAAGCACTTGAACCCCATCATGGATTAATCAGCAGATGGGGCGGGCGGGCACCGCACTGGGCTGCCACGTAGCTGCCTGATGGAGCCACCCCCGAAGCTCCCACGTACCCCCTTTGTGGACACCCCCCAGTAGTGCTCCGAATGATGGGGTGGGGAGTCTGGAGAAGCCTGGTAGTTCCCTGCCTGGGTGACATCCCATTGGGCTCCCGGTGCCTCAGTGCCGCCGGCCTCAGCAGGGCTGGTGGTGGCTCAGCTCCTGGCACCTCCGAGGCCAGCCATGCCTCACCACGGCCCTGCCCGTGGAGCATCCGTTTTACGGACTAAGAGACCAAAAGCCAGGCGCACAGCCGGGACTGTGGCAAGCTGTGGCTGGCTGCACCCGTTCCCCTTCCACCCTGGAGCTTCTGCGGAGCCGAGGGTCCCAGGCCCCTGCAGTCGGGCGGCCGGCGGGCAGCCTTCTTCCTCCCGCCCCTCCTCCAGGATGATGTCTGGGCATCCAGCTTCCACAGAGAACCCTGAACTCCAGGCCTTCAGGTAGCCGCTAGCGAAACAGCCAGAATGAAAACCAAAGCACCTCACTCCCCACCCTCCCAAACCCAAAATGCTAGTCCTTGGGTAATTTCCTAAATGTACTACTCAGACATCTTCCCATGGGTGTCTTTGGAATTGCTTCTTAGAAATGGAAGACAGTGCACCGGAGAGAGTCTGCTGGGTCCCCGCGAGCGGCGCCTCCTTCCCCATCTGTCGCAGGCACATGACCAAAACTCAGGCCTTGGGAGCTGAGGCGTGAGGCGGGGCGTGGTGTGCGCAGCTGGCCCCCATATCCGCTCCCCCTTCCTTGGTGCCTTTCAGGTGTTGTCACTGAAACCTTGTGCCACTTACATTGCTTATATGACAAAGATCACGCGAAAACTGCTTTCTGTTGAATCCTAGCTTCCTCGGGGTTCTGGAGACGTCCTGCCGGACAGTCGCAGCAAGGACCAGAGAAGGACCGCGCCCCAATCTTGAGTGGTCCCTTTTGTCCCTGAACCTCAGGGCTGCAAACTCATGTTTCTCACCCCCTCCCCTTGCAGATGGCCGCTCTCCAGAGCCCCTTCTATGGAGATAAAATGAATCTCTTCTCCCTCTGCCAGAAGATCGAGCAGTGTGACTACCCGCCTCTCCCCGGAGAACATTACTCTGAGAAGGTGGGTTTGCTGCCACCAGGCTCCGGGAGGGGAGGTGTTTCCACAGTGCCATGGCTGTGGGGTGGAGCTTGGGTTTACTTCGATGGGTGGAGATTTCTGGGAAAGTGACTCAGTGATGGGGAAAAGTAGCTTAATTTTACGGGAGAGGTTTCACAGACACCAGTGTGGGCCCCCAGCGGCAGTGTGTGGCCCGCCCAGGGCACAGAACCCAGCAGGAGCTGGCCCGGGGGCCCTGCTGCCACACTCCTGCCCATCTGGCTCCCAACCCTGGTGCTGGAGTGTGACGCTCACTGCTGCAGGTCCCGGAGACGGGCCCCATGTGGTGTCAGACAACAGGAACCAGATGCGGAGGCAGGAGGTGGCAGGGCCTCGGCTTGCCCCATAGCTCAGCTGGCTGCCGCCCCCCCCCCCCCCCCCCGCTCCAATGACAGGAAACCACGGCAAGTAGACTGGTCTCCTCGCCATCACAGACAGACCTAAATCACACCTTAGGTTTTTATTGTCAACGTTCCACTCTGGGTTCAGGGGCTCTGGGCACAGATGGACAGGTCTGGCATTGGGTCATGCCAGCTACTAGCTGAGTGTTCTTTTCCTCAGCTCCATCTTCTTGGAAACAGGGCTAAGATTTCACCTTTGTGAATCAGATGTGAAGATGAAATGGCAGGTTTATAGCACAGCATGGCCGAGGGTGTAGACAGGTGTGTTCGTTTGCATACCGCCTTCACTATTCTTGGATGAGTCCCTTCTGAGTCTGTTTCCTCATCTGTAACATGGGGATAATCCTAGACTCTACCTCATAGGGTCAGTGTAAGGAAGAGGGTAATGCATGTGATGTCCTCACTTTAGCACCAGGCTAACACTGACCACAGGCTATTAATGTCATGATAACCAGCCCACATTTATGACTTACCATTGAGTCCTTCTCCCTCCCCCCTACCACTCCCATTTTACTGAGGAAACCAAAACACGGACAGGTTAAAGAAACTTTCCCAAGGTCACATGACTTGCAAGTGGTGAAGGCAGGATTTGAACCCAGAAACTCTGCCCCCAACCACTATGCCATCATGTTTTGATGGCACGTCTTCAACACCCAGTTGTCCAGGTAGGATGAGGTGCCACCTGTGCAGCTTGCTGCTGTTCCAATCCTGAAGGTTCTGAAAGGAGCAGCCCTTGTCTCTCAGGGGCTTGAGCTGCAGAGACCAGGTCTCCCAGTGTACTTGAAGCCTATGTCCAGTTAGGCCAACCAAAAGGGTCATCAGCCACCCTTCTCTTGGCAGCCTTCATACTTAATGCCATGCTCACTGGCTTTGCATACTCCCAAAGAGAGGATCAGGAGTACACACTCTCATGGCTTTTGCCTCAGTGGTTTACATGGTTCTACATACCGTTGGAAGAAGTGGAAATGCTTTGGAGTGGAAGTTGGCAGGAAAGGAAAAACTAGATTTCTTTACCAAGTTAATAGTTGCATTTGGTTTTTTCTTTTAGCTTTTTTTATTTTTGAGAGAGTGTGCACGTGTGCACACACGCCCACAAGGGGTGGAGGGGCAGAGAGAATTTCAAGCAGGTTCCATGCTCAGCATGGAGCCCGATGACAGATTTGATCCCATGACCGCAAGATCACGACCTGAGCAGGTATCAAGAGTTGGATGCTTAACCGACTGGGCCATCCAGGGGCCTCTCTTTTCTTACCTTTTTAAACTGGGAGGGGCGCCTGGGTGGCTCAGTCAGTTAAACATCCAACTTCAGTTCAGGTCATGATCTCATGGTTCACAAGTTCTAGCTCCACGTCAGGCTGTGTGCTGACAGCTCAGAGCCTGGAGTCAGCTTCAGATTCCATGGCTCCCGCTCTCTCTCTGCTCCTCCCCCCTCATGCATGTTCTCTCTCTCAAAAATAAATAAATGTGGAAATCTGTACCATTTAGAAGAAGCTTAGACTTGCAACTTGGAGCAGATCACAACTTTTCTGCCTTACAGACAGAAGCTGAAATGAATGGATCCACTGAGGAAAGCCCTCAGCCCCCTTCTCTCCCAAGTCAGTCATTCCAACTTTGTGACCTTGTACTCCCTAGAGCATCTGGCTTTCACCTAGTCCGCCCAGCACTTCTGGGCTGTGTGTTACTGAGAGGTGCTTCTTAGCACTGGAGTCGCTCAGCACACCTCACTTTCAAAGTGTACTTTACCTCTGAGAAATGGGTATAAAGACATTTTCTCTTGATTTCTGAAGTTGGCCAAACTTGTTTCTTGCCAACTGCAGAGTATCAACTGGGAGTCACAGTGACTTGACCTTGATCTGTTTTTCCTGGGTACACAAACCTGTCAGGGGCCAGCCACCACCTTCCACTGACTGCTGTAAGGCTCTGAACAGTATGTGCTCCTCGTGGGCAGCCTCAGCCTCCAGGAGTGTTGGGGTGACCGCAGGCTCTGGGGCTTCCCAGTGCTAATAAAGCAGTGGAACCCCAACCAGGCAGCACGCGGGTTGGAGGGGATGCTCACAGCTTTCCTGACCTGGGAAAAGCTCGTGTGCAGCCGGAAAGCCCTCAGGTGTGAAACGTGGCGCGCGTATGGTAGCTCCGGGGCCTCCACGTGACCCTTGCGCCCTCCCCAGACTCCCTGGGCATGGCCACTGAGTCCACATGAGCCCCCTTATTGGGGACCAACCATCTCTCCTCTGTTGCCCTGATCCCAGGGCCTGCCAGCCCCTCCAGCACCAGGTATTTAAATGAAAAAACTGCAGCCAGCCCAGTGATGCAAGTTAAGATGTAGGCTTTTTAAGGTCATTATTTTAATTACCATTAAAATAATTGGCACTCTGGCTATCAGAAGAATGGAGGCGATCAGAGGCTCAAGGCTCCCCTCCCCCACCCCAGGCGGGAGCAGCCTTCGGTGTCTGTATAATTAAAAGCTCTGTCTTTCATGCGCACAATAAAGAGGCCGGGGGTGGGCAGACTGCAGCCCTGCTGCATGTTAATGCATTTATTATGATCAATAAGCCCTTGCCTTGAGTTTTGTCCTCTGGTTTGGGTGTCTGCATGACTGACAGCAGACACACATGCCATGCGTGCATGTGCGCGTGCGCGCACACACACACACACTCTCTGTCACTAGAGTGGGCAGCTGAAAGTTCACAATTGTTTGGACATACCCAACTCACAAGGTCTTGAAGCATGGCCTTCAGGGCCAGACAGGCATAGGACTGGTCTTGACTCTCTGCAGTGGCCATGACCGCACACCCATCACTTACGGGACGTGCTCCCCCTCCCCCGTAGGCGCTGCGAGGGCTGAAGGAGTGGACAGGTGAGGTGCCGGCACAGAGCCTCACAAGGCCACTTCCTTACAAGTAACACACAGCCTTCTCTCCCTTACAGTTGCGAGAACTGGTCAGTATGTGCATCTACCCCGACCCCAACCAGAGACCGGACATCGGATATGTGCTTCAGGTCGCCAAACAGATGCACGTGTGGACGTCAAGCACCTGAACGTGGACGCAGCGTGCCTTATCAGAGCCGCACCACTTTGCCTTACTTGAGTCTTCTCTCCGAAGTGGCCGCCTGGTAGCCTAGATCAACTAAGACAAGAGGGTTCAGTGGGTTCCCCGGAGGGGGCCGGGCTTTACAGCAGATGCCGAGTGCAGAGCAGCTGGGGGGAGGGTCACTGGTCACACCCTAACTGGTGGTCAAATTCGAAAGTCCTTTCTTTAAACTGTTTGCGGAAATCTCAGCTGGGTTGTTACCAAGGGTGGGTGGTTCGGTGAGCCGCTGACTCTCCCTTTGCATCTGGATTGTAATGTGAATCTTTAGGAGAATTCCTTCAGTGACCTGTCAAGGTTTGTTAAGAACAAGAGAGTTGCGGGAGGCCGTGTGATTTGTAGTGAGCCTTTCAAAATGGTTAGTAGCAAGTTCGGTTTAGCTCTTAGAATCTTTTCAAAAAAAAAAAAAAAAATCAAGCTGTGTGCTTGCTCTGTCGTAAAAGGCTAAAGTGGAAATCATTTTTTTAACTAGCGTGGAGATTTTTCCTAATATTTTTATCTACGTTTATAACTCACTGAATGACGAGGAGGAGAACGCGGCATCGGGCACAGGGCTTCACAGGCAGACCGCGTTCGGAAGCCCTGCGTGTCCTCCTCGCGGTCCGGCTCAGCCGTCCTCTCCTGAACACCGGCCTCGTGGCGGGCACCTCGTCACCTGCTCGAACGCCGGCAGGTTGTTTAACGATCAGTGGGAAGCAATTTCCTCATGGGAAGGAAGCATGGGATACAAAAAAATACAAATATAAAACATGCCCTGGGGCTGTTCTCTGTACAAGTTCTGGTTCTGCAACTTCCTCCCACGACCCTGGGTAACTTTCTTAAAGCCTCTCTGAGCCTTACTTTCCTCATCTATAAAATGGGACTAAGACTATCTACCTTCGGCGTTGCTGACAGAATTTGAACTAAAATATGCTCGTTACCTGGCTCATTGTAGATGATCCCCAATGGTAGCCACTCCCCCTTCACAAAACTGAAATCCATGGACCACGTAAGAATTAACATACAGCTGTATCATGTGTAGGAAACCAGAACTATTGTGTGTTTATTTCTTGTTCCCAAATAGGATTAACTGTGAAGACTAATTTATAAATGTGAACTTAAGGAAAACTCAAGCTCTGAAGGAAATCGTTTGCTTTTATACTCAAGTTAATCCTCAAATGGTCTAAGTTGTCACCCGTTGACTTGGTGACAGTTCAGCCCTCCAGATAGAGACATGCCCGCCCTCTCTGCTGGCGTTCTGGTCAGGGGCTGATTGCAGCCAGCTTGCTGACCAGGGGCCCAGCCTCCCTGGGGATAAAGGACTCGGGCTGGGCCACTGCTCTGTTTCCATGTGTGAACTCTGTTCTACTGTAACACTGCCGGGTTTGAGACATTTTCTTCAGATGCAACCTTCGCTTTGTACTTGTTCTTCATGTTTGAAATAAAATGGGGTAAGAGGGGTCACTTCTGTGAACAAGTGTGTACATAATTTTAAAACAACTTCATGTTTCAGCAAAATTTCTTGAAACGCCTTTAGAACATTTCTCAGGCCCCAGGCATTCTGAGTAATCTTGGAATTTTCTTAAGCTCCCCAGATAATTTTGACAATTGTCAGCCACTATGTTGTCCTAAGTAATGCCATTGTTCGCCCTAGCCCACTTCCCCCAGTTTTGACAAGGGGGGGCTGGCCCGAGAGCGGGTTCCGTGTGGAAGACCACGGCGCCAGGACTTTCTCGTGTGCCCCAGCACACTAGCTGTGGGGGAGAGCCGAGTCCCGATCTCCTGCCTAGCCCTTACCACTGCAAATCTTCTGATTCCACACAGAGGTGGTTTTTTTTTTTTACACATACTCTGCTCAGGGCTCTGAGCTTCTACTGTGTCACCCTTGGCGGAATCCGCCTCAGACCCAGATGAACTTGCTTTCTGCCTGCCATCGACGTTCAACACCATGAGAGCAACACTGCCTGCTACAGCACGCTCTGGAGGTGGGAGATTTCCACCATTCAGCAGGCCAAGTGCCTGGGAAATGACGGTATCCTAATTCTTACAAACAGCCACAAGGCATCCCTCTGACATCCTTGAAACTGGCCCAGGCGGACCTCAGCCGGTCTTACGCAGTCACAGAGAAGCGAAGCATCCACCTAACCTACCTGTGTTTTCTGGGCACTAGGAACTGATCATCTCTACTTCTTTCCTACTTGGCCACTGAGGTAAAAGGCTGTGCAGCCCTCACCCTCAGAAAACAGAACAGGGAAACCTGGGACGGCCCTGAAGAAAGAGAGGAAGTTAGCACCAGGGGGCAGCAGGAGGCCTCACCTGCTTTTAGGAGGGCTGTGCTGCTCTTAACGCCTGCTTGGATGCAGATTGGCGCGCGTGCCAGGTCACTGAGCCTTGGTGGCCAAACCACTACACAACCCCCAGATTGTGGCCACTTGGTTTGGTTTTCATTTTTTATTGGGTTCCCTTCAGCACACGCTGCCAAAGGAGTGTCTTACAGGGGAGCCCCTACTGCCCCCCGTCCACAGAGCAGTAACCACCCATCCACGGACACCATTCAGGAAGTGTCCATTGTCTGCACAGTCTCTTCCAGCACCTCGATCTCCAGGTTAGTGACTTTTTCAGTGAGGACTGCGGTGGTCCCTCTCTCACACCTGTACCGGCCAAACCTAATGGGAGGAAAACAAAAGCTGAGTTAGGAACCCCTCAAGGGGCCCCACGCATGGCTGGAGGGAGGGACTTGTGCTCAGGCAAGGCAACAAGCAGGCCCGGCCGCAGAGCCTGGCTCTCCTCTCCCGACCCCTCTCTGTAGCCTTGTGGAGGCTCAACTGTCCAAGGCTCCCTCTCCTCCGTGCTCAAGTGCCACAAATGGGGACGCCTAGGAGAGCTGTGCATTAAAAGCACTCCTACAGAGCACCTGGCACTTACTGGGCACTCAGATTTCCTTCCCCACCGCCTCACCATCCCCAGAATATGCTGGAAAGCACTTGGTCGTTTGCCTTTGCGCCTCAGCCTCCCGAGAGCACCTTTCAGTACCAGCAGGAAGCAGATCCCGTGTTACGCTGCCATCACCCTTGTACAGAAAAAAGGATGACTTAAATGCTATCTTAAACGCTTTAAGAACATTTTAAGTATAAAAATGACATGACCCACAGCCAGACTCTAGGCTTGTCACTGTAGACTACACTCCCCAGCCTTGAGTGGAGTCACCTGCTGCCTGGCTGGCGGGTCACCTCTATGACACACCCACACCTTCTCTCCCAGAGTGACTCGACAGCTGTGTGTCTCTGAGCACAAGCAGTCTCTAAGATCCACGTCTGAGCTGCTAATTCTTACATCGGGGCCAGGAATTACAGTACCGTCAAACAGCAGTACGAATCCCACTGTGCTGGTCTGTCCCCAGCTGGGACATCATTTCTGTCAATCTGGCATGGACCAGCAGAAGGCTGCTAGCTGTGCCATGACCATGTGCTCCTCAAAAATCACCCTGTCGAATGGGCACTTGTGCTCAAACAGGGAGGGGGCAGAAAAAAGTGGGTGACATCAGAGCTCTGTATAAATCAGGAGCCTGAGCAGCAAAGATGGCTGGCCTCGTTTCTGCTAACCCTTCCCATCCCAACCACTCTCTCCGAAGGATGGGGCATCAGCACCTTTTAAAGATGTGGCCCACCCTCCCCTGCTGGTGTGAAGACGTGGCTCCTTCCCCAAGACCGACCCTTGGCAGCCTGTCATCTTGGAGCCTGAGCTCCACATGGTTCCTGTGTGCCCAATTCCTCTGAAGCACCCCATCTGTGGGAGGCTTCGAGACGGAAGAGCCACCTCACCGCCCTGGGTTATGGCACCCAGTGCCAGAGTGCAGGGAGGGCCCCCTTTGCAAAGCAGGGCTGCAGAGGGCTAGGAGTGGAGCCAGTAGGAAGGTGCAGGGCCGGGTCCGCACCTGCCCAGCCCTAAGACTCTGCCCCCGCCTGGACTGCCCACTCTGGGAAAGGTCCCCCTACCCCAGGGAGTGCCCCGCTAGTCAGCCACCAGCAGAGAAGATGACGGTAAGATCCCAGAGTGCGTACCGCGGTCATGGGGCCTGATGCCACATGGTGCCTGCCTCTAGCCCAGGCATCCAGGAGTGAGCTCCGTCTAGAGGGCAGGCTGCCCACAGCAGCCATAGGCCCAGCACCTTGTACACAGCGCCTCACTGAATCTTCACAACCAGCCGACAGGATCATTTTGTTTCTGTTCCCGTGTGTTCAGTCTCCCTTACATATGAAAGACAATGTCCCCAAGAATTACGATGTGCCACTGATGGGCACAGGTTCCTTGTCCAAAGCAAATACTACTTTTCAATGGCTCAAACGTGGCTTCCAGAATCCTCACCCAGGACACTGTTCAGTCTGGATGGAGTGTAGCCATGTCCCCTCCCGGAACTCTTCACGGTGGACTTGCTCATTTCATGCAGCATCTTGTAATGACTGGGGGAGGCGGGACATCAGGGAGCGTGGCAAAAGCCTGCTGTCCCAGTACAGCCCCAGGCCCGAAAGGTGGTTTCCTTCGCTGCTCAAGGCCCCATGTACCCCCCACGTACCCCCCAGTCATCAGAGATCACCTAATCTAGCTCCATCATTTCAAAGACTGGGAGACTGAAGCGCCCAAAGTCACCGCGCCAGGCAATGACATTTCTCCGACCCCTGAGCCAGACTTCTTGCTGCTGAGCTGCCCTACCCTGTCGTGAGCCCACGGAGTTCCCGCAATGCTGAGCGCTGTGCTGGTCCTCAATGTTCTACTCTTTCCATGGAATTACTCCCGATTTGGAATCTGGGTACATGTAGTGAGCGTTAGTTAAAGGAAGCATTCCAGAAGGTGATGTGCTTGCCACACTCTGGCCTGGCTGTGGGCGGAACGGGAAGCGGTTGAGTTTAGAAATCCTGCCGTGCCGCGTTCGCATGAACACAGCCAGAAGCCAGAGGACAGCCAGCCAGCCACGGGAGACCGCAAATGCGCATTTCATCTGTGCACACCAGCCACAAGGGCTGGAGGCCTTCCCGTTCTAGTCAGCAAATCACCTAGAACCCTGTCTCCCAGTGCCAGCCAGGCCAAACCTCTGACACACGGGGTCTGCTGGGCACAGGCCACGGGCTAACCGGCAGGGCCCCCTGGCGAGCAGGCCCCAGGGAGCTCCCAAGGCTGATTTTCAGAGACTCCTAACCAATGGTTTCTAACCACTTATGACTCCAGGACCACTCAGAAAAGCTATGGGCTGCCTGCCCTGAAACCTGCTTCTCACAGCGTTTCATACAGACTTAAGGGGCTTCTTTAAAGGACCAGAGAAAGAGCAGCAGGCGATTCGAACCTCTCCCCACAAGCCTCTAGGGCAGGGCTCTTTCCTGAGCCCTGCTTCGCCTCCCATCAACATTTTCAAATTAAGTCACTCAAATAAAGCAAATGACTCACAGGTCTGCTATATAAGACCCCTGGATTTACATAAACCTAATGTGGGTAACAACTGAGAAAACCCTGTCGAAATACCACTGAGAAATCAAGACTGGCCAAGAAAGTTAGGGGACACAGGCAGAATTTCACCTCCTTCACTCACCTAGTCCCCTTCTTGTTGGGCACAGAGTATGGGCGGAGAAAGTCCAGCTTGCTCTTGCTGATTACACAGAGATCAATGTTACTTCCAGACCCCAGGTCATTGAAGATGCCAGCTGCAATGGCTTCACTCACCAGCTTCTTGGCTTCCTCCTCCTGAGAAAGAGAATGGCAATAATGCCCAAGGTCAGTCTGAGGGCCTGCTCTGACATCCACAAAGTGCCTTCCCAGGCAGCACAAAGAAGAGGTAGACACTTTCAATGCCCGTCTTATAGATGAAGAAATGGTCTCCAAGTACCACAACCGTTTGCTGAATGCCCCTCGGCTGGCAAGTGCTGGAACCAGGCATTTCAAACCCTCTATACATGCACCCCTTCTTCAACATGCTGCTTCACATCAGATAATCACTGCATAACTGAGGACTATGGGCTGGCAGACAGCAACTGATCATCTAAAATAGGGGTCAATACACTTTTCCTGTAAAAGGCCAGGTAATAAATATTTTAGGTTTTGTAGGTCTACTGTTCCTGTCATAACTACTCAACTCAGTCACTAGCCATAGTCAATATATAAACAAATGTGTGTGGCTGTGTGCCAATAAAACTTTATTAACAATAGGCAGTGGGCCAGATTTAGCACATGGGTTGTAGTTTGCAAACCCCTGATCAAAAATGTTCAATAATGGTTGGAACCTGCTTCCAGGTAACATACTGAAGAAGTCAGTATCACTGCGGGGTGGGGGTGGAGGGGGATACACCACAACATTATAGTTCTAGAAAGTTCTAGAAAAATGGTGGCAAACCCAAGAGCAGGACCTCTTACCCAAGAAAATCTACTGCCTTCTACTAAAGAGCGTACACATTCACTGAAGTGATTCATTTCTTTGAATTACTCTTC